CTGCACTTGTATGATTTCAAAATTAAAATCAGAGCATAACCCAATCACCCCAGCTCCTACTCAGCCGTAGCCCCCAATGCCCCGAGCTCCCCTGCTTGGAGCCATTCGCTTACTCAGCCTGGACGGCTCATTCCCAATACAGCCATAAAACTCTCGCACACTCATCAAACATACACGGATTGTCGGAGGGGGTGTGTGTGTGTGTGTGGCAGATATGTTGTGGAAGGACGCGAGGCGACGCGATGCTCCGTCGTTGCCGTTGCACAGTCAGTGAAAAATGTTTGTCAAACCGCAGTGAGCGCTGCGCGCAATGATTGAAGCCATTGCGACGCGTCGCATCGTTATCGTTGAGACGCGGATGCGGATGCGAATGCGAATGCGGATACTGATGCTGATGCTGATGCGAATGCGTATGCTGTTGTGAATGCGGATGCGAATGCTGAGGCCAAGTATGTAGATTTTTCAAAAAATTACGACAGCGTAACGCCCGCGCGTCCAATTAAAGTAAGCGGTGTATATGTGAGTGTGTATGTGTGTGTGTGCGTGTATAAGTACAGGCAGACAGACAGGCGGAATGTGCGGTAGCTGAGTAATAACTCCCCAATATGTTGCCTACATTTGTGCGAAAGTATGTGTACACATATGTATGTATTGTGTGTATGTATTGTTTGTATGTATGTGTACGCACATAAATATAAGAATGGTTACTGTTGCTATGGCTGGGGCTAAAATTGCAAGCGTCGCAACACGAACGAGCGAGCAGAACATTGAAAGACCAAACAATCTCAATCTCTCAAATTAGATTTTCAGAAAAATGCACCTCTGGGAAATGCACAATGAAAAAGCACAGGCAAACACATATACACACACACGCACATACAGACACGCACAAAACTCTGTGCCATCGCACACATATACAGAGAAGCTGTCGGCTCTTCACAGCCGAACATACAAAAACGAAGCAAATTTGTCGTGTTGTCTATGTCGTTCGGGTTCGGCAAATTGAAAGCTTTCCGAGCAAACATCGGCTCTCAGTGCATTCGTGTCTCTCGCTGGCGCTCTCTCATTCACGTAGCAATGCCATAATAACGGGGCATGAAGTGTATGGTTATTCAAGGGTTGTTCATTCGTGAAATTAATATTGCGCCAGCCACGATTCGAGCAGCAGAGGCAGCGGAGGCAGCGGCAGCGGCAGTGGCCGTGGCAGCAGCAGCACGCGCGCCACAATGTTTATGTTTGACGTCGCATGTTGTTGTAGCGCTGGCGCTGCAGCTGCATATTGTAACGGTTCTTTATGTGGCCTGCTCCCGCTGCCTGCATAGTGTAACACTTGCGTTGCCCATTGCCAAGTTGTTGTGTTCCGATTCCAACTTGTTTCATGCTCTCTTCTCTTGGATTTCTCTTAGTTGCTTTCATGCTCTTTCCGTTGTACATGTGTACCTGTCTATCAGTGTGTGTGTGTGTTTAGTCTCAGTCTGTGTTTGTGCCCATGTGCCGGCATTTTCGCTCCACTGCAAGCAGTAGACCATTATCAGATTTTGTAATAGCTTTACGTTTATTACTTTTTTCAATTTCGTCGTCTTCGGTATTTTTGGCATTTGGCGCACAGTCTAGCATGTCGAGCTTGCACATACACGATGTCTGTCTCTCTATCTGTGTGAGTGTGCATGTGTGTGTGTGTGTTGTTTTGAACTAGTTTTGCGCTTGTGTTTGTGCATTGCAGCCAGTTGTTAATTTGTTGTTAGTTATTAGTGGAACGGTGGCATTGCCCTAGTCGCCCTGTGTTCCGTCAATTAAAAAACTTGACTAGAGTACTTGGTTTTGTATTTAACTTCATAGGTTACACATGTGCCAGCACACGGGCACACGAACACGGACAGGGACACCCGCACACATTAATACACACATTCACATACACTGCTTGTAATTCTATAGTTGGTTTTACTTGTTGTTTTGCTTGTTTGACTGCCGCTTCGTGTGCAGCTCGCGTGGGCTATAATTATTTAGCCCTGTCTTGTCAGTGCTCCTACTTTCTCACACACCCACCCTTGCTGTGCATCTCTCACACACACACATTCTCCTCTCTCTTTCTCTATTTCTCTGTTTCAGTCGTTTCTTTGCGCTGGCTCTGCCTCAGCCTCTGCTTCTGTGCCGGCAGCTCCTTTGCCTTAGTTTCCCAGCTTTAGTTTAGCGCTCGCGCGCGCATATAATAATATTTTAAATTAATTACAACAAACACGTGCTTGTCTGTGTGTTTGTGTGTGTGTACGTGTGAGAGTCAAAGTCTGTGTGAGGCGCGTGCTTTTGTGCTTGTGGCTCGACTGCCTAGACTGTCGACGCCGCTACAGCCGCTGCCATTGCCGCTGCTGCTGTCTCTGCTGCTGCTGCTGCTGCTGTTTTGTATGAAAAGTGAATTAAAGCGAATTTAGTGCGCGTCGTCCACGTCCAAAGTGCATTTGTATGTCCTGCACTGCTGCTACTGATGCTGCAGCTGTCGCTAACTTTATCCTTGGCTGGCTAGCTGCCTGGTACAATACACACACACACACACTCAGTAACACATGCACACTGATAGTCAGCGGCACTTTCGCTATCGCAGTGTGTTAGTGTGTTTATGTGCTTTTCAATTGCAGCGTATACGTAGCTAGCAAACACGCCCCTTCTTGCTTAACCGCCCCTGCCAGGTCTACCCCTCGCTGTCCCCTACACTCCCAGCACTTGGCTTTGCCATTGTCTATTAGTATCTCGTTTGCGCTCCTGTTTTCTGTTCTAGTGCTTCTTTTGAAGTTTTCGCTTGCATTCGCATTTTAATTTGAAGTGCAGCATCTCAGTTTTACCCCGCTGCACTCGCTGCACGCATCTACGGCCACAAACAAACAAACAAACAGACAGACATACAGACGGGCAGACATGCAGACCGACAAACGGACAGACGGACAGACGGAGAGTCAGACGGGGCTGAGAGACAAGCATACAAACAAAGAAGTGCTTATGCTCATTCATTCATTTCATTTCCCATTACATTTGTAGAGCCCAGCGCTGGGGATATCTGGCATTCATTGCCACCATCTCGAGCCTTGGCTGTGCTTCCACCTGAGCACCGCGTATGCCCGTCCAAAGGGAAAGCTCATAGACCAAACAAAATGGTTAAAAAGCAAGCCCAGCCCAACAACTACGCCGAACGCAGCGCAACCGCCACTTGTTACTACTTTATGCCACTTCAACGTAACTCAATTGCTTTCTTTGCCCCTGACAAAGTGTGTGACTGTATGCGACTTTGCGTGCGTGTATGTATGTGTGTATGTGTGGTTTTACTAAAATACTCCAACTCCTTCTCCTCCTCCTTCTTCATCTTCTGCTACTTCTTGTCTGACGCTGCGGTTGCCTCCTCCCGCCTCTCCCGCTTCCCGTTCGTTACAGCAAATAAAAATAATGAAAAGCGCCGGCAAATAAAATTTGCACAAATTATTATATTTTTTGCGTTCATTTTATTTCTTTATTTGCGCAAAATGCATTGAGAAAATAAACAAAATTATAAATGAAAGCAACGCGTGCAGCGCCAACAATATACCCTTTATAAGGGTAGCTTTAATATGGAGCATATTACTTAAGCACTCTAAATGGAGTTAACAAAATTAATAAGAGACTAGTTGATATTTTAATAAGCCTAAGAAATTTAAAACTTATTTTAATTACCGACTTTTCTTTAAGTATATATTGTGATATTAATTGATCTATAAACTAAAGCATATTTTTATTTTTATTTTTAGAAATTTGAGAAGAATTCTTTGTTTATAGGTCTAACTTTAAAGAGGCTTACTTGAGGTATTTCCCAAACCTTTTATGATTGTATTGCAGAAGTACATTTTACTAATATTAGGGATTCAAAATATTCTCATGTAATATATATTTTCATTAAAATTGTTTTTATTTGCATATCTTATAATATTTTTCTGTAGAAAAAAGGGTATAACGAGCGTGTATATCTCTCAAATTTGAATTTACCATCTTCAATAGTAGCGAAATAAATTGCGTTCATAAGAATGGACGGACGAACGCATAGCAAGAGGGAGATGGTGCATACTCGCTTTACATCGCAAGCGAGCATGATGATACAACCAATTTCAATTCAAATATAGTTTACTTTGGCAAGTTCATAAAAAAACCATATATATATATGTGTATATCCCTTATCGCTTTACAATGCTTTGTTATTGCGTCAAAATCACCTATTGCCCGCATGCATCCTGTTTTAACGCCAACTATTTTTTTCCTTTTCATTTTTGTTACACTCCTTTTTTTTTACATTGTTGAACATTTAGACTAATTGTATTTTAAGCGATTTCAAAATAGACAAAGTGAATTTTATGAATGGAAATTTGCACCATTTTGTTTTGTTTTGGCTGAAGCCACCAATTTAAATGTTTAGTACGTTTCGAAATAGTCATTTAATGGAGTATGCTTACTAACAGGTGTGATAAGTGACTTGGATTATATGTATATAATATGGATGATATTTGAATATATAGGTATAGTATGGATTATTTATGAATATATATAAGCAAATCTATAGCATGATTATTATATTTCAATTCTGGCATAACAAAGTTCAAATAATTACAATTCTAATTGCAATTTTGGATAAATTTGTAGAATATATATATATATATATACAGAATATACTGTTAAAAAACAAAAATCAAATTTTTAAAGCGCTTTCGAGTGTAATTGTGAAAATTCGGTGTAGTCATCTTATAGAATGTTCATCTAGTTAGTAGCTCTAATGTAGTTAGAGCGTATTTATATTGCCCACACGAATTCTGTGGTCATTTAGATTAAGTATATGATAAGAACATCATCAATAGAGAATTATATAGTCGGACAGTCTGATGTTGAAAAAGTTTGCTAAGCGCTCTATTTGTAATTTTCTATTTTTTTCGGTTTGCTTTTTTATTTGATAATTTTATATATTTTTGTGCAACTGTTTTCATTTTTGTCGTTACAAGCCAAAGAACAATAAAAAAGCTGACGCACCGCCGACAACAACAACAACAACAGCAACAACAACAACAGCATGAATGGCAACACTTGTGCGTGTGTCTCCGAGACTGCGAGTGCGACTTTAACTGCGGGTTGGGGTGTTACAAATAGTGAAATAGCCCAACGTACATCGTAAATATTTCAGCTGCAACAACTAGGGAACAGGAGTGGCAACAGCAACAGCAACAACAATGGGAGCAACATGGACAGCAGCAGCAGCAATAACGAGCAGCAACAGCAGCAGGAGCAGGAGCAGGAGCAGCGAGCAAGCGAGCGAACGCGCATTAGGACTATGACGATGTTGTTGCGGGGCCAAGGAATGAATCGATAGATTGCACCTGGTACATACAACGAAGAAAATGTCCCTAACCAGAGCTAAAAGCAGAACCTCTACAACCTACGACACCAACCAAACCAGCAAACAACAAGAGCAGGAGCAAAAAATAAAAGAAACAACATTCAACAAAAACAATAAAGGACCAAGTCGTATAGGGTTTGGTGTAAGTTCCCATCTTCCAGTTTCCCAGTTTTTCACTTCCCATTGCCTGCTTCACTGCAGTTACGCCGGCTTTTTCTTCTACTTACGGCTACACGCTTCTAGGCTACATTTCTCTCTCTCTCTCTCTCTCGCTCTCTCTCTCTGTCTCTTTCTTCCTGTCTCTCCCTTTGTAACTGCCACCGATTGGGACTCAACTCAGTTGAGCGTTGTGCTCAGCAGTTTTGGTCCGTTCCCCTGACTCGCAACCCATGCGAAAATTTGAAGCGATTTATTTACTTTTTGCCATTGCCATTTGCCGTTTGTTGCTCCGCCCGTCGTATATTTTGGCAAATACCCTCTCTTCTCACTCACTCTCTCGCTCGCACAATGCAGCAACTAGCTCTGGCATATGGACATTAAAAGCAATTTTAATCTGGATTTCATGCTCTGTATATTTTCGAAAATCCTTAAGCGCATCCACACCACAGAATATATTTAGATATTTTTAAGAGTTTATCGCTATTATTTTAGGCTGCATCTGTGGTAATAAACAAGAGCCATTTGAATAGCATATGATCGTTGAATGTTGACCTTATGTGAGAAATTTTTACCTGAAGAGAACTCATAAGATGTAATATTCTTAGATAAATGATAATACGATCAGTCCCAAAAATTTTACTATGCCTTGTATCAGGATTATATCGTTATTCCATCTATTCCATTCGTTTAAAATATGATTTATATACATTTTTACATTTAGATATACTTTTCCTGGTAAAAAGGATCTTTAAAAACATTTGTAGTTAGTGTATTTCGCTAGTTGGCTATAGTAAGCCATTTATTATTATTTTTTCTCACACACTCATTTTTATTGTTGTTTTCTATTTTATTGCACAAAATGAAAATGGTCTTGTTTTTCATTTTTAAAATTTCTTTTATTTTCTCTTTCGCTCTCTCTCTCTCTCTCTCTCTCTCTCTCTGCTTGGATAACATCGTAGCTGTCGCCGTAGCCGTTAGCATTGGCATTGCTATTGCCATCGGCATTGCCATTGCCATTGGCATTGCTCTTGCCATTGGCTTGGCATCGTCCCTTTCGGTTTTTCATTTTTATTTTTAGTCGTTCTTGGACGCATTTGTAGCGTTATGACAAACAAGTGTCCATTTATTTGGCAAATTTAATGTTTGACCATTTTCTCTCTGGTGACAAATTATCTCGCTTCGATTTCTCGGGACCCATCAAATCACACACAAAATGGCGAGTAGTCCAAAATCCAGCACCAGCCAACTGTGCTTGAATTTAGTATACAAAAAAAAAAAAAAAAAAAAAAAAAGAAGAAGAAGAAGAAGAAGTAAAAGGAAACGGCTAATGGGTCACATTCTATGTAACAGCATCATCCTCTCAGCTACGGCGAGTGGCTTTGGCTTAGCTTCGGCTACGGCTGCGGCTCCGGCTCCAGCTCCGGCTCGGTCTGAGCTTCTACTTATCTTTCAAATATTTAATAGTATTTGGTGCTGAGAGCTTGTGCCGGCTGTCTCCAAAAGCGTTTAGCGTCTCCAGCTAATACATAATTTATACAAACAAAATTTGTCATTGCCATTAAGAAAAGCGCGATGCTCGTTTTTCACTAATTGGGCAGGTGTTGGCGCTGGTACCTGGTGTCTGGTGCCGAGTGCCTGCTGCCTGGTGCCTGGTGCCGGGTGCCTTGTGCCCGGCGAAAAATATTCGTTAATTAGCTGGCATGACGTGTTCTATTTGTTTTTGCCATGCCGCTGCCTTTCCTTTTCGACCGAGATCCTATCTAAATTCCATGTAGAACAAAGGTCTAAACATTTGTACACATTTCACTTTTGTTTAAGATTTTCCTGACATGTCAGCCGAGGCGGGCGAGTGGGCGACTGGGCAGGAGTGGAGTCCGATTCCGAGATGGGTCAAAAATTAATGAATAGATTATGATTAATGAGCGGCGACATCATTAAAATGTATTTATATATTCAAATTGCGGTTGCTGACCGAACAACAAGACAACCATCATGAATGAAGCGACGCCCACACCAAAAAGCAAAAGCAAAAAAAGTCGTGCAGGGATGTCCTGCCGCCAGTGAGACAGTGGGGCAGTAGTCGAGGCATGAATGGAGAACGGTCGCATGCTGAAATGTCATAGCACCAACACAAAGCGTATAACTGAAAATGTTTAATCATTAGTTTGAATTGCCGCAAAAAGTTTTTGGGGAAGCGATGTCGCTTCTTTCTTCTAACTTATTTTGTTTTTGCTTTTTTCATTTCTATTTTATTTTCTGAGCGCAGCTATTTACAACATATGAAAAAGTGCACACAGCAAAATGTAATAAAAACCACTGAAGGCAAAACCTAGTTGCGAAGATAAAAGCGCACGCATCCTTGAAATTTTATTTATTTATGGCAAGCCAGCTGCCCGTTTGTCCCGAGTCGTAGGTTTTTGTTTTTCCATGCTGCTCGTGCTGCTGTTGCTGCTGCTGTTGCTGCTGTTGCTGTTGCTTCGTTGCCTTTACTTTTCCTTCATTTTGTAATGCTTGTTTGTTTGTTAGCTACGAGTCCAACCGCAAAATCTATCCGGCCCCAGTCGGGCAGCGCTGACGAGCCAACAGGCAGAGAGACATAGAGACAGAGAGATGGAGAGGGAGAGAGAGAGATAGAGGAGATAGATGGCAAGAGGACTTGGTCTGCTGGCATTTTGCATATTGCCCATACGCAGCGTTGCCGCTGGGCAAAAGTTTGCAGAGCGCGCCGTTTGCTTTATTAAAAACTAGGAAAAACGCAAAGTTTGCTACGAATTATTTCAATTCTAATTTATTTTGTTTGCTAAAGGGAAATATTCTGGTGTTTTTTGATCGTTGTCGCAGTTAGATAGTTGAATGATAATGACGATGACCAGGACAACGATGGACACCAACTCCAGCTTCAGCACCAACTCCAGCTCCAGCACCAACTTCAAGCACAAGTTTGGGTTCGCGTCCAAGTAAGCTGAGCTGTGTGGCCGCTACACTGTTGGTGGCAATGGCAAATGAGTTTTATGCGAGTGTAGTTACACAATGACATGCACATAATTCAAGTTTCCCAACAGCAACAAATGCAGCCAGTTCTATGTGAATGACTGAAATTAACTATCAGCAGAGTGGTCTGTCCATTGGCCGAGCTGCCACTCGAGCTGCGCTCCCACTTGACTGTTGTAGCTGCTCTGGATTGACATCCAAACAGTAGCAGGAAGCAACAGTAGCAGCAGCAGCAGCACCACCACCATCACCACCACCACCATCACAAGGGTCTGTCTGATGTCGAGCTTAGCAATATAATTCTTTATTCGTATAGTACATTAGGGCTTTTGCCAGTTTAAAAGTTGTTTTTGATTATCTGACTTTTAAAGTGGATTTATCACTAAACTTCTTGCGGCTAAAGTCGGTGTCTGAAGCGATTTTGGCAATTTGCATTTGAATTGTACCACATTTGGCATTATCGCATTTGAAGCTACTCAAATGGGATAAAGTAACTAAAATTTAAAAGTCACATATATAAAAAAAAAAAAAAAAAAAAAAAAAAAAATTAGTATTAAAACAGATTTTAGTGCTCGCTGTGATATGAAGATTTCATCTTCTTCGAACTAAGGATAGCCTGAAGAGCTGGAATGAATCTCATCCGACGTACATAATTCAAGTTTCTACAAGATTGCAAAGCAACCGCATCTCGATGGCACTAATTTGACCTGACAGTTGAGCCAGAACAATGCCGCGACTAAGTGTGGGACCAAGATGTCTCAGCTGTCAGTTTAGCCCGGCTGCTTAGCCCGCACCGCTGGTGGGTCTGGTATTGCACGTACATATTCGCTATGATAACATTTACAGTTGTTGCATTTTATAATCAAAGTTGTTATTCGTGCTACTTTCGGTTTAACGTCTGTTGGCGTCCTCTTGTTGCTCATCAAAGTTTACCCCAACAGACAGCGCGGCAGCCACAGTAAAATGAATGAGCAGCTCCTCCGGCCCGGAAACCGAATGCCCACCATTGCGAGCATTGCCACCACCACCACCCACCGCTTCCTCTTTCAGTTGGTGGCATAGCCGTTAAACCGACTTCAGAATTAATCAAATCCAAGTCAGATGTTGCGCGCTGCCAAAAAACTTGAGCACAACAGCAGCACAACAACAGCGACAGCAATTTGTTGTTGTTATTCTTGGCAGTCGTTCCTTAACAAGCAGTGGGTCCAGGCCCCGCGGTGGCTTTGAGCCACCCGTCCACTTGGCATTCACCCGGCAACGTTTTAGCCAAAGAGTTAGCGTCCTTTTCATTGCCATAACGCACATTTACAAAATTATATTTGTAAACTTCTCGCCACCCAGCGCCACAGCTCCACGCCAGCCCAACCCCTCGCCACATTGTCGCTTCAGAGCCCCCCGACCCACAGTTGGCTTTAATGTACAATAAAATTGGCCAAAGTTGGCGCGTACATCACAAATATTAGCGAATAAAGATGATGACTTGATGACGATAATGAGCCTTGATGCGGGGGCGTGGCATGGCATGGCATTGGCACAGCATGGCTCGGCCCACATGACTGGGTTGCAAGTTAATGACGCTGTACCGTCGATTTTCTGGCCGCAACCAATATGCCAAAATTGTTTCGACCCGCCCGCTAATGAACACTCAATTACAATGATGTACTGCCAGCAAGTCGGCCAGACAGTCACTCGAACTGGCCCTAGCAACAACTGGGCATGTTCGTGTGCGTTCATTAACATTTTGCCACGGCCAGAACACGAAACTTCGCCAACAGAACAACAGAACAACAAAACGTGAACTGTGATGGCACTCAGTTAATGAATCTCTATCGAAGCGGCTGATTTTTGTCTGTTGGATGTTGGCTGCTGCTTTAAGTTGCTCACGTTCGCATCGTGTGCTTGTGGCGTCTGCCGCAACATTAACGGCAAGATATTCAAAGATAATTCGCCTTAATTCACTGATACTTGATCCAGGCACGACCTCAGCGGCTAAGGCAACAGCAGCAGCTCGAGCTCCAGCAGCATCCACAGCAGCTTTAACTTTTGAGTGGTGCAAAGCTCAGCAATTGAATTTCAATTTGTAAATATGTGTGTTAAGTGTTTTGCGTAATTGCAGAAGGTGTTTAAAGAGTTACATTAATTCAACAATGGCTCTTAATTAAAAGAGCTTATGCAGATTTTATACATGCATGTAGGTACATACATCTATACATATATGTACATATGTATCAGGGCTTTTGTACACTTCATTTAATGAATCAATGCGATTGTCGAGTAGGCAGATTGCCCTTTGAACAAATAATAAGTAATAAAATAATGAAATGAAATGAATGATAAGCGTTTTTAAAAGAAACTTTAATAACATCACAAATAACTTACGCTCAGATCTCGGTAGACGAAAAAAAAAAATCAGGCAAATTATCGACATTCCATGGAGGAGAAGAGCAAATTTAAAAACAATATAAACTGTTTGCTTTGTAAACGAGTGAACGAGTAAACCAATAAAGTTTATTGGCCAGTAGAATAAAATACTTTGAAAAATATTCTCTGCTGTCTATATTATCCGTACTTCACTCAAAACGCTATTTGCAAAATGGCAATAAGAAATATTAAAAAATTTATTTTATTAACTGCTCAGTTCGATTCGACATTCGTCTGGGAAATACGCACTTAAATACCATACATAAGTAGATGTGTAAGCAAACAAGAATTAAGAGCAACATGAATTTATACTGTGAATATTTTGATATGTCAAGATTGCATTCATATAGTTGGTATATTTCTGCTATAACATTAATTTGGTATATTACTTACATTTCAGTCAAAATAAAAATAAGAAATTAGCATCCTAATTGGATTTATATTAGCGAAATTAATATAAGTAATATAATTTTTAAGGATTATAGATAGATTTGAAACAATAATAGCATACATATGTATAAATAAATTAATTAATCCAATTAGGCTTTTGTTAGTTTAGGTTGTTTTTGCACAATATACACAGCAATACAATCATTAAAAAAAAAAGAAATTAATTATTAATATTAAAACTTTTTGATTGGTAAAATATTAAATAAATATTTAAGGGGAATATAGAAAAATATATATTTTAGTGATGATAAATAAAAGAAAAAACAAGTAAGAAAGCTCTAGTCGAGACTACTCGACTACAAGATCCCCTGAACCCTCTAAGCTGATATTCTAATCATTCTGCACTTCTTTTATGCACACATATATATGTACATACACATGCATTCACACGCACGCATAAGCCTGCGCTCTGCTAACTGCGCAGTAAGCAGCGACTGCGCTTGGGCTGCGCTGCAGTGTGGGCAATATTATGAGAATTTATTTGTTGAATAATTTCTTTTGTAGACATAGGATCTTAATAAAACTTTCAGAGCGTATTCATATGGTGAATATGTGTGTACATTCCAAAGCACAAGTCTCTAGTACTTGAAATGCGTTTTTTAAAAATTGGGGGGAAAGGGGGCGTGGTATCCAAAATCTGTAAATTACAAAATCTTTGTATCGATTACCTTTATATACAACGCAAATTTGAAGAATCCAGGTCTAAAAATGTTCAAATTAGGCTGAAAAAACAATGCCGATTTTTCGATTATTCTCGATAAAAAAGTTATCGGATGAATTATCGAAAAAATAAAGCAAACTCGTACTGCGTATGGTACACACGAGTATGCATGCCAAATTTCAGCTTTCTAGCTCTTATAACTTCTGAGATCGACGCACTCATACGGACGGACGGACGGACGGACGGACGGACGGACGGACGGACGGACAGACGGACAGGGCTATATCGACTCAGCTCATCGCGCTGATCAAGAATATATATACTTTGTGGGGTCTGCTACGCCTCCTTCTGCCCGTTACATACTTTTTCACAAAACCATTATACCCTGATTTCCCATTTTCAATGGGTTCAGGGTATAAAAAATAGACTGTATATTTTTTCCTTTTTACGTTTCCCATTATACAGACTAAAGCGAGAATAGTTGTAGAGTTTTTATAAACAGAATCGATTTGCGCGTCTATACAGAGACCTACAGTTCGCATAGGTTTTTATATAGAAAAGCTTGAATCGATTCAGCTCGTCGCCCTAATCAATAATAAATATACTTTAACTGGTCTATAATGTATCCTTCTGCGAGTTACACACATTTTAACATAACCATAATAGGCAGATTTCCTATTTTCAAAGGAATCAGGGTATACAAATAATAATAATACAAAAATACAAATAATATGTATAAAGGGTGTTAATAATAGAACATTTAAGCTTTTAGGTGTATTTCAGATTCGACTTGTTTTCGGACTAAACGAATTGTTTTTACAAAT